GGTGCAGCAGACCTCTCCTGACCCGCCCGCTGCTCCCCTCAGCAGTGTACTTCATTGATCTGCCTGTCCTGTTCCCCACTCTGTCTCAGGTGAATCATCTCACCGCCCCTGCACCTCTGGCCTGTACCTCAGTTCTGTATGCATAAATAAATAAATCTTTAAAAAATAATAATAGAATCACCATATGGTCCAGCAATTTCATTCCTGGATATATAGCCAAAGAACTGAAAGTATGGTCTCAAAAAGATATTTGTATACCCATTTGTTCGTAAACGATTGTTCACAATAGCTAAAGGGTGTCAGAAACCCAAGTGTCCATCAACAGACAAACAGATGAGTAAAATGCAGTATATCCACACAATAGAAAATAATCTAGCCTTAAAAAGGAAGGACGTTCTGACACATGCTACGACATGGATGACTATTAAGGACCTAAGCCAAGTGAAATAAGAAAGTAACAAAAGGACAAATATTGTATGATTTTATTTATCTGGGGTATCTAATGTACTTAAATTCATTGAGACAAAAGATAGAAATGGTGGTTCCCAGAGGCTTGGATGAGGTTGAGGAGGGGGTTGTTGAATGAACCTCCATTTTGAAACACAAAGAATTCTAACAGCAAGCATTGGCCAGGGTGTGGAGAAAAAGGAATCCTCATGCACTGTTGATGGGAACGTAAACTGATCCAGCCTCTGAAGAAATAATAGGAAGGCTTCACAAAATATTGAAAATAAATCTACCACAATCCCACCAATTCCGCTCCTAGATATCTACCCTATATCTAGATATCTTGCATCTATATGCAAGAACACTCATTTAAAGGGATATGCCCTCTCCTATGTTCATTGCAACACTCCTTATAGTAGTTAAGCCAAGGAAACAACTAAGTGCCCGATGTCAGGTGAGTGGGTAAAGAAGATGTGTACAATACACTTTGGGATACTACTCTGCTACTAAAAAGGAGTGAAATCCTGCCCATTATGACAACATAGACAAAACTGGAGGGGATTGTGCTAAGCAAAATAAATCAGAAAGAGAAAGACAAATACCAAATGATTTCATGCATGTGGAATATAAAGAAACAAAGCAAAGGAACAGACAAAACAAAGCCCTGCAACATGACTGCAGAACTGAAGCTACCCCGTGGACTGTGGTTAAGGACTCTAGGTGCCTGGTGACCATGCTTTAAGCATGGCATGGTGACGTATGTGTGGAGAGGTGTGCACGAACCTATACTCCTAAGTCACGTACAGGGTTGCGAGCCATTAAAATAAACAGATGTCAGATTCTGGAGATGAATGATAGTGATAGTTGCGAAGCAATGTGAATATCCCTAATACTGAATTATACAAATAAAACTGCTTAAGATGATAATTTTATGTTATGTGTGTTTTGTAAACAATAAGAGAAACAAAAAAACCACACCAGAGATAACAGCAACAAAGGTAAGGCGAGGCCTGGAGGAAGTGATGGCCAAGATGAGTTGTGAAGTGTGAGGAAGGACGCCCGGACGGGCAGGTTATCTGTCCCGTCCATGTCTGAGGTTCGCCCAGGAGCCCTTTCCAGGTTTAAGAACTCCATATGGGAGGAGGTAAAGGGCCGCCCATACAATTTCCCATGACAGTGTCTTGATACACGCATTTCCCTTCAAGATTTGTGTCCCTGCACTTTCCAAGGACTAATCTAGGAGCTGTCAAACTTTTGTGTGCACAAGATTCATCAGAGGAGCTTGTTAAAGACAGACTGTTAGGCCTTAACTACCCACATTCTCGTTTAGTAGGTCTGGGTGGAACCCAGATGTTAGAGGAGCTTGTTAAAGACAGACTGTGAGGCCTTAACTACCCACATTCTCGGTTAGTAGGTCTGGGGTGGAACCCAGATGTTCGGACTTCAAGTAAGTTACCGCTCCTTCCACATCACTCTGAAGAAGAGACCATAGTTGTTGTCTATTAATTTTGTAAACCCAACATTCCTGGCACAGACCATCATTACTATTAATTTGTTGCTCAATTGAAGCGATTTATTTCAGAATACCCACTCCACCCAAAGAAATTAAATAGTATAGGTAAATTCATATATTCACACAATGCCTAAATCTTGAGCTACTTTACAGAGTTACCCCTCCACGACTTTCTACAAAGCAAGGAAACACTTGAATGCCCTTTCTTCACCTAGAGGAAGAAGGCAGGCCCAAGGCGGTAATGAGTTCTTGAAAAGACAGTTGGGCCTTGTCAGGAAAGTTGGCCCGCAACCCCCTACGACACACTGGAAGGGCTCCAGCCCTTCTGTCCTGCAGGGCCTGCCTCCCTAGAAGCAGGTTATCAAGGCCCTGTAGTTAGAGGCGGCACAGGTAATGTTTACCGGTTTATTAGCCCAACCTATTAAAATGTGTTCCCAGGAGTTATTTCATCAAGCTGCAGAGCCCCCCATCTACCTAAAGCCATTATTTTCCACAGCCACCCTCCAGTGGTCATCAGTGTGATTCCACGTGATTCTCAAGGAGAAACCCTGCTGTGTCATCAAATAAAGTTCACTCTGTCCTGTGTGTTTACACCACAGGTAAACTTTACTGACTCTTATTTCTTTGAATATTGATAACATGTATAAAGTAACAAAACGACGTTTACTTTATAAACTTACCTAGGTCACTGCCCAATCATCTGTCTCTATGGTGCTGATGACAGTATTCGTTTCACCTGGCTCTAGATGGGAATGGATGCAAGGTAGGGTGAATATTCAAGCAGAGCTGTGAGGGGTCTGTATATAAGAATGGGCCATTTCTTATTTTATTTCTATTGTTTGCATTGGCGGAAAACCCATTCGTGAGACTTACCTAATTTCTACTCTAACACTTGGGCAGCTACCCACTGGCTTGACCATTCCATTTCAGTACTCATCTTTCTAACCATTTCATGCCTTTCTGTCTTAGCTAGTAGGAGTTAGTGAGCAATCTAAGAGTCAAGATGAAACACTAGGCCACCAGATTCTTCCACATGGAAAAGACTCCTTACCTCTAGGGAACCTGCAACTTTTAAATTATTTAACAATACAAGGCAGGATGGTGACCTGGACACCTTGCCCAACAGGTCTGGGGCATGACAGACCTGTATAAGCATTCCAGTTATACAGGTGGTAAGTTTGTACCCACCAATAATAAAAACTCTAGACCTAATCCTTTAAAAATAAGCATAGATGTCCTTTCTCAAGTACGGAATCCACAGGAGGCTGCTGAAAGCTGATTAACTCAGAGGCTCAAGAACATTAGTAATTACACAAGGTCTTCCACCTTTCTGTCCTATTACCACTGCAGCCTCTGTGTCAGGCACCACCAGCAACAGAAAAGAACTTCTCTGAGTTTGGTTTTCTTTATTTGTAAAATAGTCTGCATAGACTTGACAGAATTGTTGTGAGGATTATACAATATAAAATGCGTGCAAGCCCGAAGCAGAGCACATGGATGGCTTGGATAATGCTCAGCACATGAGGATTTATTGATATTTGAGTCCCTGCCCTTGGGAATAAATTTTAAGGGATCGAAATCTGGGCACCACCTCTTCCTAGCTGAGTGACCTTGTATAAACATAGTGTTTCTTTTTTCTTTTTTTTTTTAAGATTTATTTATTTAGGTATACAGAACTGGGATACAAGCCAGAGGTGTAGGGTGGTGAGAGGCTTCCCCGGAGACAGAGTGGTGGCAGAGAACAGCCAGACCAACTAAGTACCCTGAGGGGAGCAGTGCGTCAGGAGAGGTCTGCTGTGCCATGTGGGTCACCTCCAGGGCAGGGGATCGAACTCGCTCTGAAGCTGCTGCGCTAACTTGCAGTGCTGCATCCTAACCCATTGCACCACCAGGGAGGGCCCAACGTAGTGTTTCTTTGCCACCAGGTAGTGGATAAGGTTTGGGGAACGTTGACAAAATGATGCATGTTAAACCACATGCACTGAGCCTGATGCCCAATGAGTGCTCCACAAATATGAACAAATTTTGTATTATGCCCATCAGTGGGAGAGCAGAGAGGGCCAGAGCTTGGTGAAGCTGAACTCACTGGGCCCTAAAGATGCAGGTGAAGATGGGGAGGAAGTTTTAGGAGCAGGACCTCGACTGAGGCTCTAGGTTTGTTAGCTAGATAAGGCCCACTGGGTGAAGCCCGGCTTTACTGTCTTCAGTTGCGGAGAAAAGAGTAAGCCTTTGTTATGAATCTGGGAGTTTCCGCAGGAATCATGTGAAGGCGCTGGAGCTAGAGCTGGATTTGCTCCAAGGGGAAGGCCTGGCCAGTCTCAGCAGAAGGAAAGGGCAGGGCCCGGAGGCTGACTTGCCTCCCGAGCTCCATAGGTGGCGGTGTGCACGCAGCGACCGATGCGGGCGTGGCCGTGCCGCGGCCAGCTCAGACCCCAGCCGGGCTCTGCACCAGGCTCCGCCAGGCAACTAGGAAACGGGGTCCGAGGGCCCCTCCCCCGCAGCAATCCCGAATGTGTGTCTCCCGGCCGCCCACCCACTGGCCAAGCTTCCCTTCAGTCGTTCAGTCAATCTGCTGTGCTGGAAACATAACTCGATTTTCCCCGACCCGTTTGCAATAAAAGTACAGTGCGGAAAAGCCTCAGCTGAGTGTGTCAACACCATTACCCACGCCCGGCTCTCAGAGGATCCTTACATTTGCTTTCACTTTAACGGATGCCACGATGGGCCCCCAGGTCCCCAGAAAACCGCCTGGGGAGGGGGGGGAGGGAGAGAACTGGGGGGAGGATGGGGAGAGGGAGGGAACTGCGGAGAGGGTGGGGGGAGGCTTCTACCACTTTAAGGACGCCAAGCCAGGATGATTCTTTCTCAGCGTTTGTTATTCACACTCAAGTCAATGTTTTGCTCACCCCACCCCCTCCCCAGGATGGTTTTAGGCTCCTGTACACTCTCTGGGCACTGCAAATTACCTCCTGACTCAGAAAAGCAGCATCTTCAGAGGCAAAGGGCGCCAGCCGCCTGGAACACGAAGGAACAGATCAGGCATCGTGGTGTGAGAGCTTTCGCTCCCACAAAAGCAGGCAGGTGGCGACAGCTTCTAGAGATCACAGTGGAATCCTGGGTTCGAGTCCCCTCTGTGCCGTTTGTTGGCGTCTCCGCTGCTTTTGCGTCACAGTCGACACCATCACCCAGCAGGCAGGGTGCCTCAGAGGGAGCAGAGCCGCGCCCAGTCATTTAGGACCTGAAGCCAATGAAAGAATCAGCGACACGACGTCCTCTCCTATTTAAAAACTTGAAAATGTCTGTATTTCAGATTTCATACTCATTCTTCTTTTTTTTAATATTGCATTGAGGTTTGTCTTAATGACCTAGTTGGGCTGCGGTTTTGTGGCAGCCCCTCACGTCACCGAGTCCCTGACCTTGAGAATTAGATTAGCTAACAGATGTGTAAACACGCCCAGAAACCTACAGATTCTCTAGGACGTTTGCCAAAGGAATGTGGGGTGAATTTGGGCTTGGGGACACAAGTGCCAGGAACATGTCCCTATGCTGAACACTGCGTTGGACCGTTGACATGATCTCTAGTTTAAAACCCACCTGTGAGTGACCTGTCTCCAGGTGAAATGCACACCTGCAGCTCCAGCTTTCACAAGGCGCCTGCTCCACCTCCCTCTGCAGACCTGGTGGCAGTGATACTTCTGCTGCCCCCTTTCCGCACACTCACTGGCATGTGAGCTAACAGGCAAGCCTGGAGGTTTGCAAGGGGGGGGGGCGCCCTCTAACGC